AAAACGAAAGAAATAAAGTAAAAAGGAACGTGGTAAAAAATGTTATTGAAAGATCGAACAATGGCTCGGTTAGAGAAAGCCCAGCTAACATGTACCAGCTTGGTGAAAGTGAATGGCCTACTGTCTTAAGCCTCTGTCACACATTCGGAACCTTCCCCAAACCACCAACCAACCAAGGTCCCTGAATCGGTCCCTAGCCTAAACGCGCCCCCGAATTATGCAGACCTAGTTCCCGCTAACCATGGCCGAACCTCCCGGCCACACCCGTATGTTTAAAACATTCGGCTGGCGCAGCCGAACCTCGCCGAACTGACCTCGCCGAACTAACCAGCCAACCTCAGCCGACCGTGTCCCTAACATACAGCTGTAATTCACTTTATGTTCACAGTAGCAAAAGTTCACGGTCTGAGGAAAATGGACATGTTCAAGACGGAACTATATGTTCACGGTGGCGACAGGTGCAGGAAAAAGAAAAGTCCAGGAATTATTTGTTAACTGTAATGATAAGTTTACGGTATAGAAGTGAATATTACAGTACAGTACAGTACTCATGGTTTGGCAGTGTGACAGGCGCTTTACCTAAGAACATTCTACCAGCTGAAGAAGTCTACTGCAGATGTTTCGTACCTCCGGGGACTACTCCGCCGGGGGTCCGCCTTTGGCCATGTCGCTGTCGTACTCCTCAGGCTCGATGTACCCGCTGTTGTCCTTGTCCATGGACTCGAACCAGTCATCGGGCAGTTCGCTGATGTCCACTTCCTCCATCTTCTTCAGCATCTCCAGAGCCTCCTCCTTGGACAGTTTCATGTCCTCGTTCGCGTCGTGGTGTTCGAACTTGCGGAGGGGCCTGGCGTTCTCCTCCCGGTAGATGTTCTCCTGTTCAGCCGGCACGCCATCCCAAGAGTTCTATGCATTTTTCTTTTCCTTCCGCGAGAGAAAGTAGTCCGTTCCAAGCGCGCGGGCGTTGACACGGCTCAAACGAAAGCTCACTACAGACGTGCGCAACCACGTATCCCCACAACTTTAAGTTATGTACAGTATTCAAGGTTTCCTTTTAGCTTGTATATACTTTTTAAACCGATGGTATACCTAAATCATGTCGATAATGTGATTGGAAAAGGGGTAATTTTGGTACAAATTCTCCTCGTATTTTCACCTAGTTGCAGATTGCAAACCAACAGGACATCTAGCTCATGACAAGGAGGCACTCCTCTACTTTCTGGCGGTATATGACTTGCTGTATATTTTAATGACGCAATGGCTTTGCCCCGAAACCGCGCGAGGTCAGTCCCTCTGCAGTGCTCATTTTGGCCAAGAATAGAACGATTTGGTGGCGCGCGCGCGAGCGTGTTCGGCGGAGTGCCCGCCGGCACCAAAACGTTACGTCGGCTTTCTTACCTTCTCTGTCTTTGTCATGTACTTTAAATAAACCATTTGTTTTAATCATCTACGTCACTTGCACTCATCAAAACCAACAACGAAGGGGCAAAGTCTACCGGTCGATTTTGGATTTTCTTGGAAGTTGGCGTACTACCTACTCTCCAAGCAGAGGTGTGGGTTTTGGGTATTTTTAGCGTGTTTTTAGGCTTTTTTATCGGGGTTTCTCTTTTGCACTGAATTTTTTTCCCTACCAAAAAAAAAAAAATTACAGTGAAAAAGAGAAACCCCGATAAAAAAGCCTAAAAACACGCTAAAAATACCCAAAACCCACACCTCTGCTTGGAGAATACGTACTACCACGGACACCGTGACACACCGTCCGATACATCATTATTATATATAATATGGTTATGTGCCTCTCCCATCAGGGTTCTTCTATTGTCACTTTACCGGCCATACTGATCATACTTTAGGATAAGTAGAGAGAGGCACTCAAGCTAACCGACATCATCTTTCACACCGCAATCGTACTTAGTGAGACAGCTGGAGCCGCATATTTCCCGTTTAGAACTTTTTATTCAGCCTTCGCACAAGTTAAGTACACAATAGTCCTTCTTTACATCATGCAGTAACATGATGGTATAAAGATGAACAGCAGTACATGTAGATGGCAAAATAACACCAGTAACATGATGGCATAGAGATGTCCAGCACGACATGTAGATGGCAAATGCACAGCAGTAACATGATGGCATAAAGATGAATAGCAGTACATGTAGATGGCAAAATGCACAGCAGTAACATGATGGCATAGAGATGTACAGCAGTACATATGGCAAATGCACAGCAGTAACATGATGGCATAGAGATGAACAGCACTACATGTAGATGGCAAAATGACACAGCAGTAACATGATGGCATAAAGATGAACAGCAGTACATGTAGATGGCAAAATTGCTTGGAAATGAATTCAAACAGTCTAAACACCTACAACCTGGACCACACACCTGCTCTTTCTTAAAACACTTACATCTTTTATTGTTACACCCACTTTTACACTTACACCCCCTTGTAAGAAACTCTACAGTTTTTTGAACTTTCTCAATGTTTTCTTTTGAATCCCAAATAATATTTACTTCACCATTATCAATTGACCAACCATATCTATCTAACAAAACTGAAGAAAAGTCTTGTTCTAAGGCCTGTGCCCAAGTGAGATAAACCCAACAAGAACGTAACCAATGAAACCAAAGAGACTGAAAAGAAGGCAAACTACTATCCTCAAACTCTATCCGTTCAAATATAGTACCCCTGATAGTTTGTATCCAGTTTTCATGGCACTTATGAACAGTCTCCCCGCTGGATTCCCTGAAAAGTTGTATTGGCGATGAATACTGAATAAATGCTGCACGATGTTTTTGAAAATAAGCACTGCCAACTAAACGGATAAATGACAAGAAGCCTGT